CCCAAGGATCCAGGAACTGGGGCTACGGGGAAGCACCAGAGAGCAGGAGGCTGAGGATAACATCTGGGGTTGGGAAAGCTGGTCTGGTTCCAGCGGGAAGGGGAGGATTCTCTGGATTTGGGGCGTGATGGGATCCGGCACCAGCTCTGGGTGCTGTGCTGGGCTTCGGTGTGGGTTTATCTGTGGCCTCGGGGATGCAACCCTTGGTCTCCTCTCTGCAGAGAGGTGACCGTGGTTCTCCCAGCTCAGGGCTGAGCACGTGGAGATGAAGCAGGGCAGGGCTCGGGCACCCCTGGGATGTGCCAGGGAGCAGCAGAAGGGGTGCAGGGACCTGCATCTCCGGGGCTGGGCAGCCAAAAGTGTGTGTGGGGGTGCCAGAACATTCGTAATCCTCAATTTCCCGGCTTTCCTCCTCATTTACCCAGTCAGCAGCCAGCTGTGGACGGGCTGGGCAGCGTGGTACCAGCCGAGGTGTGCATGTACCCAGCTGGGTCTGCTGCAACACCGAAAACTGCAGCCTTGTTAGAGCCAAACCGCTGAGTTTCTAATGCAGGAAGGCAGGGAGGGGGCTCTGGTGTCCTCCGAAGAGTGTGGGTGCAGGGGCAGATTTGGGTGTACGGGGCCATCCCAGACTGGGGATGCTGGGGAACGTCCTTGCTCCCTGAGTGCTCAAGCTCCCCACAGACCTCCGTGGCCATGAGCACCCAGGGTCTCTTCCCACCATCGCCTGTGCTGAGTTGCTCCCTGCCCTGGGAATCTGCTGTTAAAACACTTTTCTGAGTAATACAGCAGCCGGGAGAGACCCTTCCCCACCGTGCCCTTCCCCTCCCGGCACCGCAGTGACCTCCCCGGCCAGAGATGACACCCCCACCATGGTGGGCTTTTCTTCCATCAGCTAATTCCATGTCTTTCCCTGTATTTTTCTATTTCTACTCTAATTCCTTTCCCAATGGAGAGAACACAACGCGGACATGCCAAGCTTTAATTCAGTGGCACAACAACGTTGGCATAACGGGATGTGACATTTATAATAACCCCCCCCCCCGATTCACACGGTAGGGGCTGACAGGCTCCTTTGGGCACGAAACCCTAGCTTGATGGTGATGGGAAAAGCAAGGGTGGTCTGGAGCAGCTCCTGTGCCGGCAGCCGTGCCGGCAGGGAGAGGGTCGGCATGGCGTGGGCGAGCCAGGGCGGTTCGGGATCATCCCACATCCCATGGCCAGGATCTGGGTGGAAGTGAGCTAAAATGCAAGCGGGCAGTCGAGCTGGGAAATGCCAGAGTTTGGGAGTGCTGGGAGGGCCCTGCCCTGCTCTCTCGCGGCCTCCCTCCATGCAGAAATAATTGGAGGGAGAGTTTCTCTTGGACCAGGTTTTTTTTTTCTCACATGTTTTTTGTTGGAAAGCTCAGAGCAGGATGAGCCCAAATGTTTCCGGGAGCCAGGGTAGGAGCAATCCTCTCCATTGGCGCTGGCTTTGGTGGAGAGGAGGAAAACCCAAAGTGTGCACCTTGCCTTGCAAGGATGGGGTCGAAGAGATCCCGATCCCGCTGCCATTAGCATCGTGTCCCTTTATTCCCCCTTCGAGCCGCCGCTCTGCTGGCAGGAGGCTGGATCGCCATCCCAGCAGCTCTGCCCTTCCCGGGATGTTCCCCTGCACCCCCCCAGAGCCAATTCATAAATCCCGACCTCATTATAAAGATCACAGAAAGAGAGAATAACAAATCTGGGCTCCTGGCTGTGCCGGCTTTGAAGCTGCCTTCCCCCCATCGCGTTAGCGTGCCGAAAGCGAGCAGCGCAGGAGGAGCCCTGTTTGTTTGGGGATTAACTTCCCCACTTGGCTAATTGTTGGTTAATCGTATCAGCGCGCTGCCAGGCCGGC